CTGAACAACTTACATACACAAAAATTGTTATATTCTGTTGTGATGCAAATATAAAATGCATACCTAAAATCCAACAAAAGCACTAGCTTTAAATTAATTCTTGGACTATTTATAGTCTAATCTTGCGATGTAATCCTTGGTATTTTTCTAACTTGACAGAAGTGGAACTAAAGCTCTGGCTTCAGTAATTATCAGAACACAAGATAGAGATGCTGTCATGAGATTCTGAGCATTTTACAACTCAAATGATGTTCCACATTATGGTTCCCTATGCTTCTGAGATTTAATCTGAAAAGTACAAACTTCACAAAGTATAGCCACACTGTCAGAAAAAAACAAAAGAGTGTGATGATAACTCGGTCTCAACTGAACACCTCTAGCCTGACTACATAAGCATTAACACCAAACAATGTGCCGTTCTAACTTAAAATGTTTGGTAATTCTTCTTCCAGATGGCAAGCTTTCTAGCTTAAACAATTTACACTTTTTGTTGTGCCTGTTTTTACACTTCACTTAAAGTCTTCTCAATTCACACCCTGTGAAAGTAAAAGCAAGAGACTGAAATGACACAACACAGCTACTGCAAGCTTTTCTGATCCATCTGAAGAAAACCAGAAAAGTTTTCTTACAAAGAAAAAAAAAAACACAGAACAACATGATTGATTGATTGTTTAATTGACTGATTGATTGAAATGTAATTTACCATATAGCACCCAGCCCATATTGGCTTATAACACACTATACTACAACTACACAGAGCAAAAAGAACACAACGCCCCAAAACATTCATTTACACTGTTTCACGAGACAAACAAATTTAATTATCTTACCTTTTCACATTTTACATCAGGGGTCACCAACCTTCTAAGGTCACATTTTCCTCACAGGAGTCACAGGAAAGGCTACCAATACTGACCTATGAACTGGAGGGGTCAGAGTTCACCTTAATGTCATACATAATAATCATATTTTTATTGGAATTAATGAATTCATTCTATATTTCCACCATAAAAGTGAAATAAAATCCCTGATTTGAAGTAAACTCAGGGATGTTGCCTTATTTGGTTCTGGCCTGAACTTTTGTAACCCCCTGAAATTGACATACAAACCAGCCCACTGGTTCACTGGCCCAAAGGAAGTGGGGGGGTGTGTATGAAGCTGGGCTGCTGACTGGACTGGACCTCAGCAGAGAGCCATGAGCTGCCCCTCCTCAGCCGGACCAGGGGGCCTGGGGGCCGGTAAGGCAGTCAGTGGGAGGCCTGGCCTCGGCTGCCATCACTGGGTCGGGTTCGGTCGCTCCGTCCCCCACTGGCTCCCTGCCCTCATCCGCCGGGGTTCCTGGACCAGCCATGGAGCTGACGGCTCGCTTCCAATGTTTCGACTACTCGCTACACCGTAGTCGACCAAAATCCCGGACGATTTTGAAACTCCCCCCGGACATTTCTTTAGGTATGAAAAGTAGGACATTTCCAGGAAAAAGAGGACGTCTGGCCACCCTACTATATGAACTATTGCGAAGTTTCGGTGAGTGAGTGCTTGCTGCTATGATACATCTTTGCTCAGCAGCTTCGCTCGTTGTAAACCGACCAATCAGTGTACATCTCATCTAAATATTTATGAGCATACCATAAAAGGAAGAAAACCTGTCGTTTCATTGTAGGGCTTTTAACCAGGATTGCTTTAGGGCTCATAGAACAGCAAATAGGCCATTTTCAGCCCAACCAATGTTACACACCTTATTCAGAGACCTTAAGGACCAAACACCCTATATAATGATTCTATGACCCCTTTAAATCCACTGTACTATTCCCTTTGGTGCCTTCAGCACTTATTGAGGAGCCAAAGCTCCGACCTAAACCCTTCATCCAATATTAATATTGATGTTCTCATATGAAAGCTGGGAGTCTACCATTAAATCACTGTCACTTGTATGACTGCAATGTATTAGATTTCTTAGCAATAAGCTAAGGCTGCCATTGTCTTTTTTATCTGTCGTTTTATCTGAATATTTCTTTGAATGTCAGGGAAGAAATGATCATTAGATAAGAAAGATTCCTCACCACTTTATGGTTCAAGTAGAAGCACTGAATTTTCTATTATTCTACGCCAGAGTAGCTATACATAAAAGCCTTAATCCGCCTGTTACATTCACATATATGCAGGCAGAATAGAAGCTGTTTCTGCATTCGGGGATGAGTCATCAGTCAGTTCACATGGTGACATCTACAAGGCATTATGAACTTTAATAGGACTCTGAAGGAATGACTTCTAGTTGTTTCTTTTTTACCCTGGCTGCTCTACTGCATAGTGAACTTAAATGTTTGAGGTTCATTTCACTTATCTGATGCCAAGATTCATCCAAATAACTTCAAAGCAAGGCAGCTCTTTTCATAGTGTATGCCCTGTAAGGAGATGGTTCATTGCAGGACAACACTCATCTGGCTATCCTGAAGGGAGCAGATTCTTTGAGCACAATAACGTCCAGACTCACACAGCGTGCATAACAAAAAAGGAAAATGTTTGACTGAGCGTAAAAATGAATTTAGGAGCGAAACTGATTTCACAGCATTTGAAAATAACCAAGTTTAGAGCTTTAGACAACTTTTGATCACTACAAACCCTGTGAAAGAAGGATGTTAAAAAAAAAATGTTTTTTAAGAGTTATTGTTTCAGCACAATACAAAACAAATAATAGTGTGAAAAACTTGACTGAGAGTTCATAGTAATAAAATGATTGATTTTGTGATCAGAAGTTTGTGTGACAAGGCTTTTATTTAAAACAAACACATCCTTAGCACACTTCACACTTATTATCTGGTAAACGGGGCAAAAGATGAATAAAATAGACATTTTTTTCAAAAATTAAATGCAATTTATTTTTCCCACAAAACATTTTTTTTTAGCTAACAATAATGAGCTGGCCATGGAAGACCATTGATTTTAAGTAATAATAATAATTAATAATAATGGAACTGAGAAATTTACCTCTGCATTTAACCCATCCACTTTGGGGAGCAGTGGGCTGCCATTGTGTGGCGCCCGGGGAGCAATCAGTGGTTAAGAGTCTTGCTCAGGGACCCAGAGTGCAGGCTGTGGGGACCCTGAGCAAGACTCTTAACCCCTGATTGCTCCCCGGGTGCCGCACAATGGCAGCCCACTGCTCCCCAAGTTACAGTACCAGTTCTGTGTTAATTTTGGCCATAAGCTTTGCACCATTTAATGAAAAAACAAACAAAAGAAGAAAATGAAGCAATTATCTAAAGGGTCTCATTCATATAACTTCTGATAAATGCACTTTTCCGTTTCTTATTAGGGAGGGTATAAATCATTAACATCCTATTTTGTTGTCGGAGGATAAGTAATTAACGTCATTAATATTGAAAATAGTTTTATTATTTTTTGTAGACGGGTGCTTCCTAATCATAGATTAACTTAATGGTTGATTAAAAAGGAATTTCAATCTAACTCTGCAAAGGGCATGAAGAACAGATGGCTTAACTGTAGACAAACAGTTTTACATAATTTTTTTTTAAGGCATGAGGTCTGCAACCTGCAGCTTCAAAACCAAGTGTAGCTCTTCGGCCTCTTCACTGTGACTCCAGGAGAATCCCCAAATATTAAAATTTTTTATAATGAAATTTAAATTAACTAATAACGGTTGGATTTAGTTGTTTACCTGATATGAAATCTGCAAAGAAGAATTAAAACAGTAATGGATCAAAAGTGCTTTGAAAGTAATTCAGTAGTTTTTATCATTGGTTTTTGTAGTTTATATTTTTCCTCATATTCCACATTTGTCTTTACTCTAAAAAATAAAGATGTTTTACTTTCCTTTTGCAAAGTTTTGTTAAAAAAGGGAAGTCATATGATTTATTTATATATATATATATATATATATTTTTTTTTATTTATCTGCTTGTTAAATGCAACATTTCATTAGTATTTATAAATAATTTTTTTACACAAAACAATTGCATTTTTTGTCTTTTAGCATAGCTGGTATTGGTGGTATTATAATAGTAACCATACATATCTAAATATTGGCTGCTGGGGCGTACCTACTTGGCTAAGCCATAACTGCAGAAGATGCCTAAATACTGTGTGGCTTGTTTCTGTTCAAATCGATGGACTGTTAATGGCTCAGAAGTAAAAGCAACATATTATTGTTTTTTTGTGATTAAAAGCAACCTGCCTACCAGGGATGCATGATATACAACCATGATAGTTGGTATTAGTTAATAAATCGGGGCTGATATCAATAACTGATATTTATTGCCATCATGGGGATCAGTGTTTAGTATTTGTTTGATCATGTCACAGTGATGCAGGATTGCAGAGAAGCAATGCCAGCAATGTGGTCAGTTTTGCATGGTTTCCAATAGGTAGGGAAAATATGATATCAGTAGATATTTGTTATAACAGCAATACTAATATTAAATATTGATATAGGAAAAGATTTTCATTATTTGCATCCATATCTGTCTATCACTGTCTGTCCGTCCGTCCATCTATCTAAATCTGTTGGACAAATTCGATTTAAACCAGCCTAGAGCTGTTTCCTTCATTTCTACAGCACATCCAGGCCTTTCTAAAAGAATATTATGATTGACTGCATCAAATGCAGCCCTTGGATCTAAATAGATTAGTTCAGACACAAGTCCAACAAAGGTAGGTTGCAGATTCCTAATGGACTTTAAATCCTTAAGCTGAGGCATTTAGGCCCATCTCTGTCATTAATTCAGTGCTAAGCAGAGCAAACAAAGCAGGACGCCCTTTCAAAATTTGCTGTGGATTTGTTTCTGTTTCCCCATGCTTCCGGTGACATGAATCCTTACAACATTTGAGCTATACCAATTAACCTTAAACAGTAAACGATTTGATTGTAAGGAGGCTTTGTAATTAACCAGAGATGGGTTTACATAGCTGTCACCATTTAACAGGATGTGTCAGCTGAACAGAAAGAATTAAAATTCATTCAATTCTCCTGTTTTTCTCTACAGAGGAGATGGGGATGAGGATGCTGGTGAGCTGGACTTCAGTGTGTTGCTCAAAAAAAGGTGAGATTATTTCCCAAAACACATTTTAAGACTCCAGGTATATCAGATTTCAGTCTTTGTCTGGTCAACCCTGGTGTTTAGGAAGCAAAAGAAGACTGGGCAACCAAAGGAGGAGGTGGACGTATGGGAAATCCTAAAGGCAGCCAAGCCTTGTGATTACGAGAAGATTGCCTTTCAGTACGGCATCACAGACCTGAGGGGCATGCTGCAGAGGCTGAAGAAGATGAAGGCTGAGTCCAAGAAGAGTGATGGTGAGGGGCAGAGGAACGAGGAGGAGACATTTTACGAGACAAAGGCAGAATGTGCCCAAGGAATGAGACGACAGGGAGGAAACTAACCCTCTTTTATGCAGCAGACTATAAATACTAGAGGCATTTAAAGGCATCCAGAGAGAGGTTATATAGCTTGGATGACAGGTGGAATGTTTGTTAGCCTGTTACTGTTTAAAGTTGGCTCTCATGGATCGTTTGCCTCTTTAAAATGTACTACAGCTACTCTGACATGACACTTTCTTATTAGCTTTCCTGACGAAGCTGGACTCAGCCTATTCTGTGGACAAGGGGAAGACGATCCAGCTCACTGTGGAAGTGGCTGACCCCACAGCTGAAGTCAAATGGCTGAAAAATGGACAGGAAATCAAACCATCAGCCAAGTGAGTCACACTTAAAGTAAATAATTGAGCAGAATTGGTTTAGATTCTTGCTTTCTTTAAAAAATAAAGCAATCAGAGTAAATGAAAGCTTATTTTTCCCTCTCCTACAATAATAGTTATTGAATGCTACTCCTAACTTACACACAATAATAAAAACCCAACAGTGAATTACAGAGGTGGAAAAAGTACTAAAATATCACACTCAAGTAAAAGTACCAATACTTGGATGAAATATTACTCAAGTACAAGTAAAATTACCCATCAGAAAAATTACTCAAGTAAAAGTAATAAGTAGCTAATTTAAAATGTATTTTAAGTAAAAGTTACTTAGTTACATTTAAAAAAAAAAAACTGTTGAACGGGGCAGGGGATCTCTCTCATGTAGTGAAAATAGGACAAGGAGTCATAAATCCAAAACTATTTAGTTTTTAATAAAAGAAAAATCTATACAAATGTATACATGTAATGACAAGATAGCACATGTCACACGATTTTCGTCGTTTTGGGCAGCAGAATTCGATGTTTCAGCTAGCATTTCTAGTGAAACGTTCTCTGAAACGTCGTCGCTCTCCTGATCCACCTCCATCTCTTCACCAATCTCCTACAGAAAGACTTGGCGCCTGGTAGCCTAGATCTACATGCTGATCACGTCACTCACTGTAGTGCTTCCGGGCCCGATTTTTTGTCTTCCTTTCAGTTTTCCAAAGTTTTTTTTTTTACTCAGTAACGGATTTGTAATGTAACGAAATACAATACTTCACTCAAAACGTAATCAAGTAAAATTTAAATTACCGATTTTAAAAACTCCTTGAAAAATACAAAATACACAAAAAACCTACTCAATACAGTAACTTGAGTAAATGTACTATATTTCGTTACTTTCTACCTCTGGTGAATTAAACATTTATTTTGGAGCCTTTATTTGGCTGCACTGCTTTTGAGTTAACCAAAGAAAATGCATCCATCCATTTTCTGTCACGCTTATCCCAAGCGGGGTCGCGAGGGGTGCTGGTGCCTATCTCCAGCTGTCTACGGGTGAAAGGTGGGGTATACCCTGGACAGTTAGCCGCTCCATCACTGGGAAACAGAGAAACAAAACACAAACACTCACACTTAAGAACAATTTAAAGAAGCAGATTAACCTCCCAGTCATGTTTTTGGACTGTGGGAGGAAGCCGGGGTATCTGGAGAGAACCCACCCATGTTCAGGGAGAACATGCAAACTCCATGCAGAAAGAGCCGGGCCGGGAATCGAACCCTGATCTTCTTGCTGCAATGCGACAATGCTACTCTCTGCTCCACTAAGCAGCCCCAAAGAAAGTCCAATTAATTAAAAAAATAATTCTTAAAATATTTTTTGCTGACTATTTAAGTTTATGTGGCATTTTATTTCAGCACTTGACTTTTGCGTAAAGCGTGGGGTCATTTGGATGCATTTAGTTTAACAAGGAGGAGTGCTGTCAGCTAATGCTAAGTAATACACGTCTAATTATGATCTTGTCTTATAAACAAAAATTGGTAGCGATAGACTATAGGAGACTGATGGTAATGTTGAAAAGAATATCTATTTTGGCTCACTTACCTTAAGGTTTTCTTCTCACTCTGTCCCCTAAACTCTTCAGTTAATTCAACAGCTATATACAGAAATAATCAAGAAGTACAAACACAAGTAAAGATTGTGATCTGATCACATTTTGAATTACCAAGGCTCTGGCACTTGCTGCAAAATCTTCCTCCATAGGCGGCTAAATCAAATTGTGAATAAAAAACAATCATTGTGTCCTACCTAAAGACCATAAATCTTGAATTTAATGTTTTTTGAAAATGTGACTGTAATTAATTTAGAGGATCCTCTCTGCACAGAGATATCCACCACCCTTTCACTAGATATGTCATCTAAACTTTCTTTTGCAGACAACATAATATGTGCTTGTTGAATTTTTAGCCTCCAAAGAATAAATTTTTTATCTGCTAAAGTACAGTTTACTATAGTATCTGTTCTGGGAGGTGTAATCTGAGCTTTGGTTTGTTCGCAGATTGCTCTATAAAGTGTTTATTTAAAATTTCATTGGATCAGCTTTGACTTTGAGACATGTCAAACAGTATATAGAGATATATATATAAAATATGTGTGTTAGTTCTAAGCCTGCTTTGCCCGCTGGGCTCCATCCAGGGTCTGTATCTCCTGCCACGTTCTTCTCCCCTCCTCTTTCAAAGGCTCCTTTTAGTGTTTTATTGAAGAGGGTACAGCTGTTGCAAGTGGTGTTTCTTCAATGTCTCTGCTATTTTGAGATCTTCGTGCTGTTCATATGAAGGAAGGAAGGAAGGAAGGAAAGCACCTCTTATTCTGATTAAGAGGAAGCCTTTTATTTTACCCCCAAAAAAGCCTCAGAGGAAGTATTTTCTTCATTATACGGTAATCTAAAAAGATTCAAGGTTGGTGTTTTAATTTAGTCGAGTATAACCTAAAAAAGGCCAAACTGAGACAAAAGGCTGTTCCTACACTAACAACAAACAACGGATGTGGATGAAAAAGCAGTTTATTGGGTGATTTCTTCAGAAATGTCAATACATCCCTAATTAAACAGATTTATAAACCAGCTTTTTTAAGAAACTGTGGACAAAAAAAGGGAGAGCCTAACAGTAATTACACCAGGTCCACATGATGTATTTTAACAGACCTTTTGGGTTATAAACAACTGCACAGGTAACAATAATGGGTTATATAAAAGTAATTATCTAAAAGAAAGCAAATGTTTCCTGCCCAGGTTCCTTTATTTCATGTTGATAAAATGTAAAAATGTACTTATCTTAGAGACAAAAATCTATCTGGATTTAATTTACTAGTTGATTTAGCTTCATCTAAAAATATGTCCAGAAAGGATTTAATTTACATATCGGCATGCTTGTTTTTTGTTCATTTCTTGCACAAAAGTCAACTTTACAAGATTGCAGATTTATGTATCTAATTTTTAATAATCTAAACAAACAGAGCAGTCATATTTTAATTATTCTTGTATTCCAACATAAATCCTGATATCTTTTGCAGCCAGTATACTAATCTGCTGGCTGCTATTTGAATTTTTTTTTTGATAAAACAAGGAAACTTTTAATTTTGCTTTACAAAAACACTATTCATTATTATACTTTGAGGTATTGGATGATGCAAGCTGGTAACCATGACAATCCTATCTCTCTTAAGGGATCTTTGTGACACATCACAGTGCAGCTTTGTGATGCTTGCCACTACAGTTACTGTAGCCTGAATGCATTTATGTGGGAGCATCGGGAACTCTGGAGGTCTTTACATACAGTAGAGAAAGGAAAGTGTGGACTGTTAGACTGAGTCACTCCATTGCCAGCCTCTAAGCCTCTTACTGCGCCTGGTTTGCTGAATGCGTTACCACATTATGATTTCATTGTCGTATTGTTCTTAATCCTCTTTATATGCCCCCTTAAACCATTCCAGGTATGTGTTTGAGAGCGTGGGCAACAAGCGGACCCTCACCATCAACAAGTGCAACCTGTCTGATGACGCAGCGTACGAGTGCGTTATTGGGGAAGAGAAATGCTTCACGGAGGTTTTTGTTAAAGGTAAAATAGTCACTGTCTTTAGAGAGAAACTGCCTCTCAGGAGGGAAGAGTTTTCTGCTCGGTTTAACAAATGCTTTCATTCGAGTACAGAGAGGCCTTTCAGCCCTGCTCACTTTCTCTGCCTGTGATGTAATCTGATTATTTCTATGCTTTCATGTCACAAAGTAACATGCAGCTCAGTTGCCTGTCTGCTTAGTCATATTTAATAGCCGTGCAGCAAAGGAAATGTTCATGCAACTTTATTCACATGTATTCTTGTTACCGTAGATGTATTAGAGAGCTCACATATTTGTCAGAGTTTGGCTGAATTGATGGGGTTTTTTTTTATTTAAAAAACAAATATTATTCTCTCTATATATATAAGCATATATCAATATTTCATTATGCAGCTCTGAAAGTGTTCAAATAATCGTATTTACCTATCTTAAATGGCTTATTAAAATATTTTTATGTTTTTAAACATTTTCAGCCTGGTTCTGCTGGAGGTTTCTTCCTGTTCAAAGGGAGTTTTTCCTCTCCACTGTCGCTACAAGCATGCTTAATGAGTCGATGTGATCAAGTGGTTTTCTTTAGATAGAAAACTTTGAATCAATTTGACTGTATGTTCTTGTAAACTATAAAGTGCCTTAGGATTACATGTGTTGTGATTTGGCGCTATATAAATAAACTGAATTGAATTTATTGAAATAAACAATGCTGTGATAAATGAAGGATCTAAATTTGAATTTACTGTTCAGATACAACACTTAGATTCCTTGGATGGACCTAAAGGTTGAATGTTGAATGTTAATTTCCTCCGATACCAAGTGGCCTGTATGGTCAATGTGAACACCAAAACCGATTCTATTAAAGTCTAGTATTGTAAAACGTCTTCTTTAAGCTTTTCTTTTTTATTCTTTGTCATATATTTTGGACAAAGTTTGTAGGAGCCCCTTAAATAACAGGATAATAAACGGATAAACAGGAAAAATAGAGCAAATTTTTGTGCCTGTTTCTTGAACAAAGTGCTAAACGTAATTTTAGAGGAATTGTATTTTTTAGTAAGAGAGCTGAAGAACTATGATACACCAGTGTTTGCGTTTTCAGTTTTTTTCAAATAATTAAAGTGAATAGATTTTGTTAGAAAATACAGAGAATAATTCCCAGTCTGTCCTCCTTCACAGCCAGCCTGGCTGTTGGTGCATAAAAGAGTGAAGTAATTGATATTTCGGATCGATCCGAAGCACTGTTACTCAGTGGCCATTTTACACAGTTTGTAAAAGGGATTGATAAATGGTTCAGTGAATAACACAAGTGGAGCATCAGCCAGAAATATGAAAGAAGCTCAGTGAAATTAGGCCTCTGAATGTGGGGTACAAGACTAACTGAATATCAAACCAAGCATTAGAATGGTGCCTTTATTCATTTTTTCCACACATATGATGCAGGGAAGGTCCTGGGGCCAGGAAAACACCTGAGAGCTGCATTAGGGAGACAGGAACTTAAAATAGGTGCCTGTTTCATTTAAAAGTGAACCCAGGGCCCAGAACAACCCTAACCCTAACCCTACACCTAACCCTACACCTAACCCTACACCTACACCTAACCCTACCCTAACAAAGGAAGAAACATTTTTTTTTTATTCTTACTCTTTACTCAAGTGGAGAAAACTATTCAAGTCAACACAAAATTTTGTGAACAAGGCTGAAAAGATAGAGTAATAATAATAAAAAAGGAAAGAGTAAGAAAAAAAATTTTTTTTTATTCCTTTGTTTTACACAAAAGTTTTCACGTCCTCCCACTTGCATTTCAACCACCGAACAAAGAAAAGTTTATAAGTTCCATAATGCAATAAAATGTACTACTTTAAATTGGCATTGAATCAAAAAACTCTCTCCTTTGATGAGTAATTTAATTAAGTTTCACTGTGCAACAGAAATCAGCACTTCATATACAGTATCATTCCTCTGAAAATGGGTTATTTATTCAAATGACTTCTATCACCCCCCGTATGACACTGAGCCCCCCCAGAGGGCGTATCCCCCACATCAGGAAGCACTGGTTTAAACCATCAACTGAAAGACCTGCAGTGAGGCTGCTCTCATCCCTGTGGATTTGTGACTGTCGCTCAGAGAGTTTATGGGCTCACCAGCTGAGGGTGTAAAAATATCTGGAGGGAAAAGCTGAACAGCCACGATGACAAATAGTCGAGGCTACCGGAGCATCAAGCATCACACCCTGTGGCGGCACAATGCAACTCCCACCACCTCAGGAGACCTTATCTACCTTCCACCTCTGCAAGAAGGATGTGTTTGGAGGCTGGGATAAGGACTTTGGGGGAAAACTCTGACATTACTTATTCGCAAGTGATGGCTCGAATCTCTGGGTTTTAGATACAAACCAAAACATTTAGAAATAAATATGCCATAACTGAACTTTTGCTCATATTGTCATATTTCTGTTCAAGTTGTTACCGAAGTTGAATTCGGCTCCTTTGATAAAAACTTTTATTTATAACTCTGCATCGTCCATTTGTCCTCAGAGCCTCCTGTCACCATCACTAAGCCGCTGGATGACGTTCACACCATGGTGGGGGAGAAGGTGGAGTTTGAGGTGGAGGTTTCAGAGGAAGGAGCCAGCGTGAAATGGTGAGGAACAGAAATACAAACACCTACTTCCCATGTCCTTTTCTTTATGCCTTAATATTCATGTTCAAATAAATATTCTATGGTGTTTATTTTCAGCCGTTAAGGAATAAAACTTTCTCCAATGGAACGATTGCTCAGAAGGTTATTTTCGATAATATGTTGGAAAGAATGTATTTCAAATGCATATAAACCACAGAAACAGATTTTTTAAAGTACATTATTAATGAATGTAAATTCAATTGATGGGATTGCAAAGATATTTGGAAAGGGTCAACATTTTATTTATTAATTAAAATTATTTTACCTATGTGAAATCCTCCTTATCGCTTTCTTATAATCCAGTTTAGCATAAACCATTCCTGCTGTATTTAATGTCACTGGCAAAACATACTCAGACAACTTTTATTGTCGATTGTCAGAACAGCAACTTTCAAATTTATTTTCTTATTGCTCATTTTATTTTGTTTTTCATTGTGTGCGATACATGTACACTTTCACCTTAATCCTATTTATCTTGATATACTGTATATATATTGCTTATCCTTAATGCACCTTTTTCCTCCTTGTTTGCACCTTTGGTAACTTCTATGCCAATATGTGACGAGTGAATTTCTCCGCTGTGAGATCAATAAAACTCATCTAATCTAATCTAATCATTGCAAGATTAAGTTAATTAAGCATTTATTTCATTTAGCAATATTTGCAACAAAACATATCTTAAAAAAGCAAAATGAAATAAAAAAATGAAAGAAGGTAAGAAAGTAAATGAGTACGGTACATTTAAATTAACTATATAAGATACATTGAAATTGTTAAATGAAAAAGACCAGAAATTTGACCAAAAAAACATCACAAATAACATAGTAAAAAGAATAATGAAGATAAATTTGATTTAATAAAAAAAATCTCTAATGAAATGATAAGATTCCAGATCGAAGATGATCAATCTCAACAATCAATAAACACATAAAATTTAACTAATCAACAAGTGAAATTAAACCCAATTCAATCATAAGAGAATATAATTGGATTTAAATAATTTAAAAAAGGTTACATTAAACCAAATTGAATTGCATAGCAAATAATATTGATTTAGATAACTTTTAAAAAAAGATAAAGAAAATAAAAACAACATGGTGCAATCTGTTCATTCTTCTTTTTTTTATTCTTGCTCCTGTCTTCAACCATCATAGTTATGATTTATGTCATCTCTAAGGTTTTCTGTCGAGCTATAAGTCGCTTTATTTGCTGCTTTAAAGCTGGAGAAAAGAGAAACTTAACTGATGCATATGCAAGAAAAAACGCTGTTTTCTGAGAAAATTGAGAAGTCAGGAAAATACAATTATTTTACCTCTATGCTGTTGTTAAATTAAATTACAATATAAAATTTTTATACCAATGAATTCTAACTCTTGAACTTTAAACTCTGTGCAGTATTTACTATTTACAGTTTGAGCGAATTGTTATGGTAAACCCATAATCTGTTTCCAGGGTTAATGATTCCTCTCTGGCAAAGTGTCTCTGGTAGTAACCTGTTTCTTCTTCTCTTTCCACAGGATGAAAGACGGAGTGGAGATAAACAGAGAGTCAGCGGGATCTAAATACAGGTTCAAGAAAGTTGGGAAAAAGCATGTTTTGATCATAACCGAAGCGACTACAGAGGACATGGGGATGTACCACGTCTTCACCAATGGTGGGGAGTCGAAGGCAGAGTTGGAGGTTGAAGGTACCAAACGACGTCACGAGACAGAAATAAACAAAAAAACAAACAAGTGAAGCATTGCTACATACATGTAAATCTATAAAGAGCCCCTGAGCCTGAAATATGGCAGAAAATGAAAATAATTAGCTTGATTTCAATGATTTTAAATAATTTAAAGAAGACAGAAATTAATTAGATTGATTTGCATAGCGAAAAAATCTCAGCAGTATATGGAATTTAGGTCAACTGTATTGAATAATGCTAAATAATATAAATTTAGATATTTAAAAAAATAAAATAAAGAAAAAAAACAATTACATAAGACGTTTTTTATGAGACAGAAAAACAAACAAACAAGTGAAGCATTGCTACATACATGTAAATCTATAAACAGTCCCTGAGCTCTGATATGAAGGGAGAAAAAAATCAGCCGCTATTTAAAGTTTACCACTAAAAGTCTCAGACTTCCTGCAATTCAATGCGACCATGTTGACGTTTTCCAATCTGACAAGCATGAAAAGGAGTAAATTACTCATTACTGATGTGGTGATTAATATAACTTCATTAATTCCTTGTATCAACAGCTCGCAGCTTTCGTCATGCTTATTTTCCTTTACACCTCTTAGACTGGTATCTGCCATCAGGCTGTCTCAGGGCGTGCGCACTTCAGTCCAGATGAGTCTGGTAATTGATTACGGTGTGAAAATTGCTGTCTGTCCTCTCCGGTTAATTGGTGAGATTACTGAGAGTCCAATCATACATTATCATATATGTACCATGAAAACTAGATGAGCTTTGACAGAGACGAGCGTTTCTCTTCCCAGCTATGTGTGAGTCTGATGTCTGTGAGTAAAATTATCAAGAATTTTTAACCAGACCACAAACCTTTAGGTGATGTTATTCTTTGAGCAGATGTATGATTCCCAAAACTTTTAAAAATATGATCAAAACTCAAAACAGAGACAGGTGACCTAAAGAGTCACTTTAAAGTTGTTTTATTTAAGGCATTAAATAGTTAAGGCTAAAAAAAAACAAGGAATGCCACCGATTTTTCTTTTTCTCTCTCGGTTTAATCAGATTAGAACCATATATTTTTCAAGATTTTCTACAGATTATTATATGGTTATGGACATGAGTGGTTCTAGAGGAGGGCCAACTGGGGCCACCGTCCCCATAGAGCGGATCCTTGTAACAGTCCTCTGTACTGACGTCATAAATACTAAATAATTTTCCTAAAATCAGAACCGCTGACAGGAACCATAACAGACTGGCTCCTGGGAAAGATTTCCTTCATCTAAACTAGGGCTGCAAATAAAAATCATTTTACTAATGGATTAATTTGTTAATTATTTTTATAATATTATTCTGAAAGCAAGAAAATGAAAAAAGGGGAAAATAAACCTTTTGAACTTGAGGAGATCTGAGCATATTGAAAGACAAAACAAGTATTTTTAAATCTTAAATGCAAAATGCTATGTACATTTTAGCGTCTGTGTATATTTTAGGGTCACCGATAAATGGATTACTAAATTAGTGGATGATTATTTCAATAATCGATTAATCATGATTAATCCGACTTATTCTTTCAGCTCCTAACCTAAAAAGTTTTACTTTAATGATTTAAAAATCAAAATGTAATCACAGTTAGAAAAAAGTTAGAATTAAATTGCATCCAGACGTCATAAAAATTGGCCTGAAGCTTGCACACAAAAGGCTGAAAATACAATTTGTATGTATGCATATTTTGAAGAGAACAGAAAGATGACACAAATGGTGACTGAAGGGATTTTTCATGCAAACATTTAATATGGACCATTTCTGCCCATTTGCTGCTTAATAAGATTTTTGTGTTTTTTTCTTTTTATTTTCATGATTAATTACAGCTATTGGCTTCAGTTGCTATGGTAATTTTAAATAACATTAATCAGCTTGCTCATTGAAATACACGTTACATTAACGAGATGCTTTGCAGGGAAAGCATCAAGAGGGCGGAGCATAAGGAGGAGCATTTTAACGTAAACTTGTACTCTTACTGTACAGCTTTGATTGATAAACTGGAAAATTGTTTTGTTTTGGGCGTGCCCATGGTTTCATAAGTCAGTTTTTTTGTGGTGTTAAACATTTTCAGGTTTTTTTGGCACATAGATATTTTATAGACGAGACATCAGAGCCCAAATTTGGCTCTGTGTGCCACCATGAAAAAAATACAGGCTCCACTCTGGTTAATTTGGAACGGCCCCTGGATATAATATATATGTGAAACAGTTTGATTTAATCCATTCTGCCATCTTGACTCAGGTTTCCCTAAATCACTGAATATTAAGCTGTATAAATCCAAGGCCGAAGCAGGGGTGGTGGGGTCAAAGTGTGAATATAAAACTCCTTTGTACAGCTTTTACCCTGAAATTATGCTGCAAGTTTATACACCAAATACAGTCGATTATCCTGGTTTTTATGCCTTGATCTCTGAGTAACCTCCTTTGTTTGTCTCTAGAAAGGTGTCCACAGCATTATGCTGCCATTACTATGTTTTTTTCTGAGAGGGTTTATGTATTCCAATGATGTATACTTAGTTTTAGACAATTTTTTATTTTTATTTTTTTATATTAAAGATCTTAACTTTTTTTCATTATTTCTGTAAGGCTGTCACAGCAAATCAGAATAACGTAGGGAGCAGTTTGTGACCTTAACATAACAAAAACTGAGAAAAGTTCAAAGAGAATCAAAAGATCAATTAGCTTTATTTAAAGTCATTAAAGCTGTACAGTGGTTGGATCTCCTTATGTTAAAAGTTGGTTTTTGAGCATGTTTAATGCTATAGACATCTATCAGATCGGATCAGATTAATGTTCAATCACACCATGGAGGCTCTATCCCATTGAGATAAAAAGAGGCCTAAAGGATGACAGGATAAAATGTGTTAACCAAAGAAAACTCCAGGTGAAAATTATCTGAAGGTCTTATGTTTAAAAGACTGAAGTCAAAATTTGACGCAGGACATTCGAGATGCTTTCACTTCATCATCTAGTGTCAACCAAAAGAAAGCATTTTGTTGAAGCTAAATTTTTAAAAAACGATTCAGCTGAAAATATTAAAAACCATTTTGGTCTGTTTGACTTTCTGTTAGTAATAAGGGGCCTAGTGGAGGTTTTATTATTGTATCAAATGGTATTTTCTTTTTCTTTCTGCAGAGAAGGAGCTGGAGGTCCTGCAGAGCCTTGCTGACCTGACAGTAAAGGCATCTGAACAAGCAGTGTTCAAATGTGAAGTGTCTGATGAAAAGGTGACGGGAAAATGGTTCAAGGATGGTGTGGAAGTTGAGCCCAGCGATCGCATCAAAATATCCCACATTGGCAGGTATTCCCAAACATTAGACAGCAACGTGGCCTACTGTTTTAATTTAGGACAGCTGCTGTTTTCAAGCCTTTTTCCCCCATCATGAAAAGCTTCACACATTCAAATTGAACCTCGAGAACACTTTGCTCCGCCTGCCAAATGGCTTGGCAAACTATTACCAGAGGGTTTTCTTAGCCGTTTGACCTATTTTTCCACATAGGCTGCAATCTGTGAGGCTCTAACCTCTAAAAACACACAATAAAAGCATATTCACACACAGCATACACATCCCAGGGGTCTGGGTTTTATCTCAGTAATCCCTCCATCAAAAAAGCCCATGGCAGGAGTTACACGAGGTCACACAAGGTGAAAAGCCTCACTCTTTCATATTGGCTCATAGGTTGCCAGGCCAACCATCTTTTAGCATGAATGCAGATCATAGAAAATGTTTCCCTTCTTTATTAACATCTGCTTAATTATCCTTAGGACCCATAAGTTGACGATTGATGACGTGAAACCTTCAGATGCAGGAGATTACACCTTCGTCCCGGATGGCTATGCGTTTTCTTTGTCTGCTAAACTTAACTTCCTAGGTAGGGGCAGTTAAATAAAAAACAAAACATATCATACATTTGAACCCTTTGATGTATTCTAATAGCCCAGCAATAGTTTTTATAAACATTCATTTCTTTTTTCTTTTCTTTTTTCCTTAGAGATCAAGATTGAATATGTTCCCAGAGAAGGTAATTTTTTTGAATTTTTATTTGAATGTGCAAAGAGGCACATAATGACATGTGTGAACGAACATTAACACCACAAAGGCAGGAACAAAAACGCTGCTTTAAATCCAAAAATGTACATTTCTCACTTTTCATTGTGTTCGGTTTAAACCAGGAAAAGGTCAGAGAGCAAATTTAGCAACAGATTAATATGTGTTTTCCTAGACTAGCACTAGGTTTACAGCATTTTCACTTTTATGGGTCATCTCTGGTAGAGGGTAGGGGTGTAAATCACACCCATCATGGAGATTCGATTCAGTATCGATTTCCTGACCCAACGATTCCATTATTTTCGATACTCAAGAATACACCACGATTCGATTCGATTAATCGATAATTTTTTTACAATATATTTGTTTTACACCTTACAGGCTAAACAAAGTTTTAAGTTTGAAATAAATTAATGAAAGCTGTAATAGCGTTATGAATTTTTTTTTTTTTTTAGAAACAACAGCAAATAACAGAAGTAGAAAATTTGCATCAAAAAATACTGCAAAAATACTGCACAAAATCAGTGCAATGAGTTCAATTCAATACCTCAGCTCCAGATGTCTCTGCCCTGTTGAGAGACGCTCCGCTGCTTCTCTCCCAAATTGCAGCTGACCGCAAACAGTGCCGCAGACAGGAGGCCGGCTTGTTTTGTTTTTATGACCGAAATTGCGGAAAACAACTCTTGAAGTTTGACCCGCTAGAAAAGCGAGGTGCACGAGAACGCTGGGACCCTTTTTCCACCTGGTTCTCCGCTCTTTTTGGCCCTCATGTCCCTCCGTCGTCGGACTAAACTCGC